TGTTATAAGTCACGCTTTATATCTTTCTATATTCCCTTGAGAGTCAAGTTTTGTTTTGTAGACCCATTTACAACCTACTATTTTGGCTTCTTTATGAATTATTTCCAAGTCCCAAACTTTATTGACATTCATAGATTTTATTTCATCTTCCATGGCCTCAAGCCACTTTGATGAATGATCACTTCTCATGGCTTCTTCAAATGAGGTGGAATCATCCTCTATTTAAAATTTCTCAGTGTTGTATACTTCATAGTCAGCACGAATAGCTAATTTTTTAACTCTTTGAGACCTTCTAGGGGCCTTCACATTTGGCACATCTTCTATTTGAGGCTGTTGTTGCTCCCCCTCATGTGTGGCAATAGGTTCTACAGGATCCTGAAGAACAGGTTCCTCATCGGCATTCATTGTTACCACAGGCGGAATAACAACTGGTGCTGGCACCACAGTATCTTGCACTGTCGGTGCAGCGACAGCAGGTAGTGAGAAAAATAGCTCATGAATCATCGGAGTGGGCGCATACACCCGCTTCTCTTCAAGGTCAATTTCTCGAGCTACCATGCCCCCCCTTATCATTTCATCCTCTAGGAAGACAGCGTGTCTCGTTTTCACAAACTTTGTATGTCTGTCTAGACAGTAGAAACGAAAACCTTTTGACTTTTCTGGGTAGCCAATGAAATAACAACTTACTATTTTGGGATATAGCTTTCCAATGTTTGGGTTAAATACTTTAGCCTCAGTAGGACTCCCCCACACACATAAGTGGTTTAGTGAGGGTACTCTTCCTGTCCACAACTCATACGGTGTTTTGGGCACCGACTTACTTGGTAATCTATTGAGAATATGAATGGCGGTTTTTAACGTCTCCGTCCACAGGCTCAACGGTAAGGTGGAGTAGCTTATCATACTGCATACCATATCCATCAGGGTACGATTGCGTCTTTCAGCTACTCCATTCTGCTGAGGTTCGCCCGGTGTAGAATACTGGGCTACTATGCCATTCTCCTGTAAGAACCTTGCAAAAGGTCTAGGAACTTGGCCATATGGGGTATGCCGACCGTAGTACTCCCCCATGGTCGGACCTGACTATCTTAATCTTTAAATTATGTTGGTTTTCAACTTCTGCCTTAAATATTTTAAATTTATCTAATGCTTCTGTTCTTTCTTTGATTGGATAAATGTAGCCATAACAGGAGTAATCATCTGTAAATATTATGAACGAATCATAACCATCCACACTCTTTACAGGAAACGGACCACAGATGTCTGTGTGAATAATCTGTAAAATTCCTACTCTTCATTTGGCATCTTTCTTAATTTTCTTTACATACCTTCCTTTTATGCATTCTCTGCATTGTTCTAAATCTGAGAACTCTAATGGAGGAAGAATATCATTCTTAACTAGTCTTTCTATTCTCCCCTTCGAAATATGGCATAAACGACAGTGCCATAATTTTGACGATGCATCGTGAGCTCTCTTTCATTTTCTGTTTACATCTGTAGATGAGGATACATTCTTATTGTCGCACGCAACGTTCCCATCATCGCATACAACATTCACATCATCACATAGTGATAACAAATAAAGCTCATTTTGTAAGATAGCAAGACCAACACATGCATTATTAAATGTTATCTTACATTTGCCATTTCCAAAATGGCAATCGCATCCATCATTGTCCAAGCATGAAACACTAATCAAGTTTCTCTGTAAAGAGGGAACATAAAGTACATCTCTAAGTAAAAGTGTGAAGCCATCAGCAAGCTCTAGATAAAGATCGCCAACGGCTTCAACATCTGCTCGGACTCCATTTGCAACTTTAACGTGTCTTTCTCTTCTTTGTGTAGTCCTCGTCGAATGGAATCCTTGTAAGGAATTAGCAACATAAACAGTTGCACCTGAGTCAATCCACCAAGTAGATTTCGAATACTGTACATACAGGGATTCATTTATGAACGTAATAATGTTCTCACCTTTCTTTGCCATGATTATCTTTAAGTAATCGGGACAATCTTTCTTATAATGTCCCGTCTTCTTGCAATAAAGACACTGGTCTTTTTTTACTGTGAACTTATTCTGCTGAGGCTGATGCAGCATGGGACCCTTTCTCTTTGACTTTAAGGAAGAGTTAGCATTATTATTCTTTTTCTGGTTGTCTTTTACATAATTGATAGTGTCATCATTGGCAGCTTTCATTCTCTCCTCCTCTTGCACACACATAGCTATGAGCTTCTCTAAGTTCCACTTCTCGGGCTGTATGTTGTAGTTGACAACAAAAGTGTCAAATTCCTTTGGCAAGGAAGCAAAAATTAGATGAATAAGGAACTCTTCCTTGAGAGCTAGATCCATTGGTTTTAACTTGGATGCCAAATTGCTCATCCTTAGTATGTGCTCTCTTATGCCACCATTTTCAGAGTACCTCTCTGTCATCAGCTGCTTTATCAGCTGGGTAGCATATACCTTTGAAAAGCCAGTGATCTAACTCTTTATTCTATTGAGGTACTCGGTGACCGTGTCATACTCTGGGATTGAGCCCATAATTACATGCACAATCGTGTTCTTTATCACAGCCAAACATTTTTTGTTGACAGTGACCCACTTTCTATGCTAAGGTCATAGGATATCTTTTGGGATTCAAAATCCCTCTCTCTAGTTGCCTAAGCGGCACCAGCCTCGTTTGTCTCCCTCATCGGTGCCACAGGCTTAGTGGGACACGGTGAGGTGACTACCCAATCCACCTCAGTCAAGATAAAGGCCAGGTCAATCTTTTTTTCCCACTCCGTGTAGTTGTCACCTTTGAGAGTGGGGATCTCTTTGATATAACCCATCAAGTTGTATCCGCCTAAAAACATAATTCATATAGAGTGAGAACATGAATAATAACAACAATTGCATGCCTTGATTCCAACGTTGGTCAAAATAAAAACATACAACTGTTTATACATTAAATTTACATCACCGTTGGGCAGAAATAAAAATAATGCATAAAATCATTAAAATTACGATATTGTTATTAACAACATTGGTCAGAAAATAACAACATCATAATCATGTCAAAATCTCTTTTTCTCCAATTAAATATCACGTTGGTTCAAAATAACTGGAGAATAAACAATTTCTTTAGCAGCGGAAAAATAATCTCAATTTAGTGAATTTTACCCACGGAAAAAATCACTTTTCTTATTTTCTTTAAGCCATTTATCTATTTTCTAGGAAATAAACTTTTACTGGAAAATAAAAAGGTAAAAACTGACTCAATTTCAGCACTGTTCCTTGGCCCAGCAACAAAAACCAGCTCGGCCCACTCCTCTGCGCGCGCGCTGCCCGCACCTAGGCCGCAACGTGGGCTTGGACCGGCAAAAGCCGCGCGACACGCTCGCCCGCCTGGGCCGCAAGTCGGCCCGATCAACCGGCGCTGTCCGTTCCGATCCGACGGCTGCGCGGTGAATTCGGCCGATCAAAAACGGCGACGCGGCGCCCTCCCCCAAAACCCTAACTCCATTCGCTCCTTCTCCTTCCCTCTCTCACTCACTCAGCCCCGTAGCGCACCAAGCGATAGTGAGCCAGAGAGCCGAGCCATGGCGCCATCACCAGCCCTCTCGTCGGCGTGCGCGCTCCCCAATGGGTGAGCGCGCCGCCGTCAAGCGGCCTAGCGGCTGTGCCCTACCGCGCCCGTGGAGGCCGTGCCTGAGCGGCAGCGGCGCTTTCTTTTCGCGCACCGGCGAAGCGGTGCTTCCCGCACGACGGCGGTGACGGCAGCGGCAAGGTAAGCCTCTTTCCCTTCCCCTTCTGGATCTTGTTTCTCTTCTTGGGTTTCACCGATTGGGATTAGGGTTAGGGTTTGATTAGGTTTTGGGTTAGGGTTTCACTGTTTATCTTTCCCGTGCTGTCCTTCATGGGTTTGGGCTCGAATTCGAGTTCTTTTCTAAAATCCGAGCCCTCTGTCTTACTCGTTTCTTCATCCGATTAGGGTTAGGGTTCGGTGACCCTTTTCTCTTCTCAGATTCTAACGGATCTAATCTGTTTCTTGTCGTTCACCCGTTCTAGATCTAAGCCCTAGAAGACCTGGCTCTAGTACCATTGTTGAGATCGAAAAGATCATCTAGGGTTAGGTCTAGCGGATCTATTTGCACTTGGATAAACCATGAGTCCTAGAAGACCTACTAGTGCAATAACAGTAAATAGAACGGGTTGTCGAACCTGACACCGCAGAGGGTCCAGAAGCCGCCATCTCGTTCGTTGGTGAAGTCTGCGCACGGGCAGCGACGGTTGGTGAGGACGGTGACGATGATGGGCGGTGAAGGTAGTGGAGTCCGGTGACGCAGCCCGGTGGCGGCGCAGCTGGTGACTTTCCGTCACTGGCTGCGCACCCTCTAGATTTGATTAGGGATTTCGGTGGGAAGCTCGGCTCAGGCGAACCTCGTACTCAGAGCCGCCGGCCCTCACCTCTATATATATAGCGCAGTGTGACAGGAGCGCATGGCTGGAGCGCCCCCGATCAGGACGCGGATCAAAGGCCCAACTGGACCGTTGGGTCCGGTTTAGGATTAGAGATCAATCTAACATCTTCCATCTTCATCGTGTTGCAATTCTTCAGGGCAAGGTTCCCATGCTCAAGCTTCTGATCTCCATTATCCTTCTTACCAGAACCTGTATATACCAGTTCGCCTGAGTTTGATGACAGTTCATCAGGATATCCGCCTGAATCGACGACGCTTATGGCAATCCGCACACCGGTTTTTTCATGGCTGGTGGAGTCGATGCCTCCCTGGAACGGACGGTGGAGACCAACGAGGGCCAGCTGAACCCTGTACAGAAACTCATCTCCGACTTCGACTCCAGGAACGCTGCCAACAACTGGCCCCTGCTTGGAGAATCCTGGCAGTTTCCTGATCAGTTTATCTGCTGCGAGGTCAATTCTTCTAACCTTCACCGAACGGTGTCCCGTAGCTTGCACTATTGCCCTGCAGATAGACTCGAACCTGGTGCAGATTAGCTTGACTTAGCTCCTAGCATCTGCGCTTTGGGGCCCATATTCAAACTTCGTTTCATGAGCAGCCAGGGCCTTGAAAATTTCACTATCTTCCAAGATGGAATCCTCCTTGTCATCCAACGCGCACGCAGAGGCAGGACCTTTTACAGTAACCCTCCTTTTGTTCATCAGCTGCTTCTTGCTCACCCTCTTCTTGGGACCGAAGAAGGCAGCTTCCTTTCCATTTGTCCAGGGGGACTTGTTTGCAGACATGGGATCCTGAATAGCTCGATCTTTGGTAAACACACCAGTGTCCTCAATATCATTCATGTCCACACTCCATGCAAGTTCTGTTTTCCTCTCGATTTCCATGGAGGAGGGCCTACACTGAGTGTGGAGAAGAGATTTCTGAATCAATCTGGGAGGTTTGACTGATTTTCGAGCTGTATGCATGACCTTCTTTCTCATCAGCGCACCTCCAGCTGCAAAATCCGAAGATGTGGTGTCCAGGGCAGCACAATCAGAAACACTGTCACTCCTATGACCTTCTTTGGAAAGACCTTGAGCCAAAGATTCAGCAGCAACAACATTGCACGAACTCCCACCAAGTTTGTTTGTCACGTTGGCAACGCTTGCAGGCACAGCTGATGACCTCGTCTCCTCGCAAAGCCATCTGTTCCCAATTCTCTCCCCACCAGAAGTATGGCTTGCATAGACTTCCAAAGGACTAATTGCTGTAACAGAAGCACCATGTCTACAAGCTGTAGCCTCATGCAGAGTAACACTGGAAGAAACATGAGGTCCTGGACGAACCTCAAATTCCATGTCATCTCGTTATGTAGGCACCACCTCCTCCGAAGATGGCAGACACACTACTCGGTTCGTAATGCCAGCGCCAGCGTGCAGAGGCGCTCCAAATCTCCGGCACTCAGGTGGGAAGCGACGATTGGCAGAAACCGTCGTCGGCTTTGGTAGCAAACAATCCTTGCACTTCAACAGTTTACCGCTCCCCTGTCACGATCCTTAGGTAAGGACCGGCGTACACGCACGGTGGGGGGAGATCGGCGGCGCCGTCTCTGGAGAAGAACGGAGAAGAGGAGAGAAATAGAAGATTTGGAGGAGATTAGTTCATTTCATTATCGATACCGTCTACAGAGCAGCCAAAGGGTATATATGGCTTCATATATGGGCCAAGCCCAACACAATGAAAGGCACGCAGGCCTAAATCATGACCCACTCCCTAATACTATTACAGGCCCATGTGCTAGGTCATGACATTCTCCCCTGCTTAAGCAACAGCTTGCCCTCAAGCTGTGGATGTTTCAATCACCACATAAGCATTGCCATTGTTTTGTATAACAGAGGTTTGACATTGATTTACTTTGTTGAAACCAAAGCCGTCAAGGGTCTGCAATCATCAGGCGACAGAATTGGAGCTCCAGGGTGGTACAACCAGCCATTATCTTGTAGGTGATGACGTGCAGACTGCTGAAGTGTTGACTTGAAGATGCACTAAAAAGAATGAGAGGAACCCTTGGTAGCATAAATGGAATAGCCTTCAAGGATCTTCCACCGTCAGATTATAGAATTGAAGTGCCAGCATGCTAGAATTAGTCAGTGTCTTGTACATGACTTCCATTGTTTTCGAGTTCAGACTTGGATATGCTTGAAACTGAATGACAGGAACCATTGGCAGAACAACTGTAGAAGCAAAGCACTCACTATATATAGCTTCCCATGCTCCGAGAAAATAAGATTGGTCTGCTTCATTGCCATGAAAATCAGTCAAACCAAAGACTATCAAATGTAGTAGCAGCCCCACAGAAATTGTCGCTTGAGGACCGGGCAAAATAATCATGTGATGTTCCAACTCCTCGTTATCACACCAGGCAAGCAAAATTGCTGAGGCAAGTGGAAGTAGCACTGGCCTTCCAGAATAGAGTAGTCCATAGTGTTGAGTAGGAATGCACAGGTAGAGTATTTGCATGTTGGAACTTATCTGGATAACATATGGTTCAGTCCAAACAAGAAGTAGCTTCCCTGCACTGGAACATGGCTTGCAGCATGGGAGATGAAGAAGCTCAAGAACTGGCGCAAATATCAACCACTGGTGAAAGACACTTCCATTGTTGCTGTTGTTATAATTCACAGGTGATAGTATCATGCAGGTAGCCGCTGGGAATTGTAGCATCACAGAGTTTCCTCCCACACATTTTGTTTCACTCAAAGATAACCAGCTGTGGTATGGCTGCATCAGTATGGAATAAAGCTCAGAAGCACACAGGTGGTTATTGCCACAGCCATTGAAGGCCAAAACAGCATTGAGACCAATCAGGTATATGGGAAAAGATGCATCTGCAGGATTGTGTGAATGGTGCCACTTCTGGACTAGCCAAATATTGCGCAGCAGTGTTTTCACCCCAAGTAAATGTCCCGATGCTGGTACAAAAACCAAAATAACAGGGCCACCCCAAACCACACAACAGTAGCAACTCCCATGCCTCATACAGTTGGCAGCCCTCCTCTCTTCAGTTGTGCTCCAAGTAATAATTAGATCCCCATCCAAGAGAAGGAAATCATTCCATTTTATAGTACCATCACACTTTTGCTGCCATCTCGGAACTGAAATCAGAAAAAGTTTCATTGAAACAACTGAAATCACATGCTGCACAGGCAGTGGCCACAAGAACACCTGGACCACACTTTCGCTACCATTGGCCAGTACATGACCTTGACATGGCCATGGTGGCTTCCATAACTGACCAAAGCACCACTGACTAGAATGTAGCAATAGAGAAGCATACTGACTGAGACTGAATAGCAGCTCATGACTGTGCTTATATGATATCACAATTTTCAGTTGATATAAACCTTGGCCAGTGTGGGAGCACAAGGTTGGCAATAGATTTATGAAGTCCAGAGCCTTACCACTCACTTCTTGCCACACTGATGATGTTTGTACTGCTGTTAAGGAAATAGCAAGCACCAATGCTGATGAATTTTGCAAATGCAGAGCAGCTGCAGACTCACAGAAAGATGGCCATGGTGTTGGCTTGAGGACCATCAGAACCCATCAGGTCAAACAGCAGAGGTGGTGGCCATGGCTGCCGCAATAGCACATCTAGCTGACCATTGCTAAAGGGTTGCCATGACTGTGAGCACAACACGCAGGTGTCTGTGAGCAAAGAGTTTATGTTTTTCAGAGGAGGTGTCCTGATCCTGAGGCTGTAGGCAATATAGGGTATGTTACTGATGATGTATACCAGAGATAACCATGGGGGCTTCCAATGCACTGGCTGATGGTAGCAGGTGAATAACAGACAGTACAACTCTGTGACTGGAATAGCAATATGCAATTGAATCAACCCAATGGCCTCCATTTTGATAGAATCAACTTGCCCTGCGCTTACAAGTAACTGAAGACAATCTGCACAGCATTCCCACCATGACTCGCAATGGAGAGGCCAGACTAGGAGCTTATGCACTGCGCAGCTAAACTGAACCCATATCACTATGCTTGAATGTGGACAGACAAGTGCCACTATGAGACTGCCCTGATGTCCGTGCCAATTAGGCCATGGTTTCAACTCAATCTGCAAGGTTAGTGAGTGGATTCCCAACACGAAATTTGAGATAACTGCTTGCAGTAGTGTACAAGGGAGGATGACAGTAAATATGAATTCGCCCTTGCTGCTCTTGCCACGGTCAAACACACAGGAACCAGTAGAACACACTAGTAGCGAAGGGCAGTAGGTCGTGAAGGAAGGTAGCCATAATACCTCTGAAGTTTGCCCAGTCACTTTCTCAATCACCTCAAGGACCTCAGGAACATTGGAGCAAATCCCGAACATAGAAATACCCTTCGAGCGAGTAGTGCAAACGATGGTGGTGTCGCTGCTCCCAGGCATAAGCATGTTGGTGTCGCGGCAGAAGCAATCCGTCGAACACCTGGTCGACAGGGCGACGGTAGGGTTGTCCTCTGCACCTGGCAAGTTTAGTTTGGGGATGGGAGTCGAAGCTATAGTCAGAGCAGTTGGTGTCGGCCTGGAGGTCGGTGCAGCGGTGGGCTCGGTCGGTGAAGTGGTAGGAGCCATGTACGCCGGTGAGGTAGATGATGCCGCGGCGTGCTCGCTGCAGGCGGAGAACAGGACCGAGCAGTTGTCGATGACATCGGGCGGCGTGGTGGTGGTCGGAGAGAACTGTGGAGCACCTATCATGATGTGCGATGCCACAACATGCTTGTTGCAAGTGGTGGGCGTGACCACGCACTCATCGATGGCACTGGGTGTTGTGGCGGCGATGGGTGTAGGCGCTGCAGTCAATGCTGGGGTGGATGGTGGTGTCGCAACTGCCGGCGCAGCGGCCGGAGTCGAGGGTGCCGGTGAAGTGGGCGAAGACGAGGGCGTGGACGACCGTGTCGCAGATGCGAGGGTCTTGAGGGTGCTACACATCCCCGCGTTCACTTCCTCCATCATCCGCAGCATGCGATCCATCTTCGCCTCGAGCTCGGCGATGGTGGCGACGGACAGTGTAGATCCGGGTCGGGCCATACTTCCTCGATCGATGGCTCTGGTACCAAATGTCACGATCCTTAGGTAAGGACCGGCGTACACGCACGGTGGGGGGAGATCGGCGGCGCCGTCTCTGGAGAAGAACGGAGAAGAGGAGAGAAATAGAAGATTTGGAGGAGATTAGTTCATTTCATTATCGATACCGTCTACAGAGCAGCCAAAGGGTATATATGGCTTCATATATGGGCCAAGCCCAACACAATGAAAGGCACGCAGGCCTAAATCATGACCCACTCCCTAATACTATTACAGGCCCATGTGCTAGGTCATGACATCCCCGGCCCTGCAACACCCTCGGCGGCGTCCATGAGAGCACCGGCGGCGGCGGCAGCCACACCGTTCCTGCTCGAAGCCTCGGATGATTTCACCAGCCTCTCCCCTTGACAATGACGGCCTCCGTCGTCCGTCCTTACACCGGCAGCACCACCCGAAGCAGACACCTTCTCCAGCGCACTGATCGAACCACCACCGCCACCAGCAGCAGCAGCGCTGGGTGACGCCGCCGCTTCGGAAAGGACACTGTCCACCTTGCCGCCCGCGAGTGCAGGAGGAGGAGGAGGAAGAGCCGACTTGTGCGGTGCGCCAGAGCCGCCGTGGCCGCGCGCAGCTACAGATCGGCCAAGTAGAAGCTCATTCCCACTCCCACTCCCACTCCCACCCTCGCGCGCGATCACCACCACCACCCTGCAACGACACGACACCTTCCCCAAACCAAACTGAATTAGTTGCATCTCACGGACCGAGAGCGAGAGGATAGAGACGAGCGGCGGAAGCGGACTAGTCACTCACCTGATGGCAGATCACCTCTCGCTCGATCCGCGACCGCGAGGACCACGACCACCGGCGGCAACTAAGGCAAGGCGGTGGAGGCGATTGGGGTTTTGCGAAGGACGGAAGTGGAGTACTACTGACCGTGACCACCTATATATTCTTCACGTGTACTGATTGTCCGTCCCTGCTACAGACAAGCACTGCACGGCGTATGATATGGTTATTACTGAATCTGGAAATGCCGTGCAATCATAGTGCCCCGCCCACCCTTTACTTTTTCGCAGCAGCTGGGACAGCGCCACAGCGGACCCCATTTTCACTGGACGGACGGTCCGATCCGGCATGTATCTTTTCATTTCCATTTTCACTTTGACATGGGTAATAATCATCATTCAAAAAAAAAAAAAGTGATGTGCGGTGGCTCGGAGTGTCGTGAATCAAGTGCGTCCACCAACCAAACCAAGCATTGCCTGAAATAGTAAGAGTGTTCAAGGCAGTGTGACCTAGCAAAACCAATGCGATTCGGACAAAATTGCACGTAAAGTAATAAGATATATATATATATATATATATATATATATATATATATATATATATATATATATATATATAAAATAAATGTTCATAAGTAGATTTCTTCCCTCGCTGGTGAACCTAAATTTTCACTGCAAAAATCAATGAAATTACGCCAACATCCACGTTTGTTCAAAGTTACACGGCACTCAGGGTTATTTGTTGGGTTTTCCTACTTTTCCATGTGGCTAAAAACAAATTTGGGAGCATATTTATTGGGTGGCTCCAACTGTCCCTAAAATCTCGCTTCTCTAAAAGATAAAAATGCAATGGATCATATACTATTTCTTTTGAACATAGATGTATTGACAACCATGATCTTACTCATCTCTAGATTAGTCGATTGATATGCACACCTATATTTCCGTGTAATTGGATCGATTTTCCCAAGCGCGGAAAGATTGAAAGTTGAGACAACGAAGGGCGCGTTTGTTTCTCTACGAAACTCGCCTCGCCTCACCTACACGGAAACCAAGAAGCTCGCCCAGCTGAGCCAGCCAAATCGACTCTGGCCACTCAACCAAACGTCTAGTGCTCTTGCTATTCCTCATCGAGTAAGGCCAAGCAAGATACGGCCAAAGATCCAAATGCGCCCGAAGTTGTTGGAAAGCTGTTTTTCTATCTTGCCAAGGGAAAAAAAATCAAGATCGGGATTAGATTTTGGAAACTCCTCTTAGAACCCTCAAAAAAAGGTAGAACTGCTTGTGCAATTTAGGAATAATCAATTTCACTTGTTTCCACAGTGTTGCATATCTCCATCACGAGCAAATAACTAGCAGACAGATGGACTCGCGATTACACCAGGCGGAGTGCTCCGGAGATAGGAATCTCGCTGGGCATTGATCTCGTCGGGCCTGGGGAACTCCGTTTGACCGTTTCCTAGGCAGCCTTGCTCGGAGAGAAACCAAACACACCTCGATTTCCTAGGCCAGGCTGGTGGCCAGGGTTCCAACCAAACGGACTCAGGCAGCTTCACAACCAGGCAATTTAAATCATGGACTTAGCACACCACTCTTTGAAACAAACGTCATTACATCATTTTTCCGGCAACAGATCATACGCAAGCAACTGCCAATACAATGTAGAATAACCACACCCACCGGAACATTTTCAAGAACATTGTCGTCATTAGGACTCCTATGAGATGATCACATTGATGAACCGCTACCTTGAGGGCCACATGTCTACGCATCGGCCTGCAGCAGCTCCTGCACTGACTGACCAAGCTTGGGCTCACTCCTGATGCTCTCGATCCACCTCGCGCTGATCCGCACCCTCTCCAGGCTCTGTTTCAGTGCTCTCTCGAAAGAGGGCTTGATGCGGCCAGCAAAGAACTCGGTAACCTCGGCAGCTTTTTCCTCGGAGGTGAACTGATCAAGCACAAGAGGGGAAAAAAAGGCTAACGTTACTAACTAAATGATAGATGGGAGGAACAGCAAATATAAGTCTCCAGTGTACCAGTGGGACAATGGACTCGATGAAGTCTGATATGAGTGAACTCGATTTCCATGTCTTCAACACGTAATCCCAGTTTTCCTGTAATGGGACAAATATGGGCATAAATATCTACAATGTTTTCAATTATAGTGCCTCAAATAATAAGATACTCCATCCCAAAAAAGTAAGGTGTTTTAGTTTTTGTCCTAAGTAAACTGTAGCCAACTTTATAGAAAAAATCCATTAACATCTGCCATAGAAAAAAGAAAATAAATGCATTATCAAGACATGTTTCATGATGGAATTTAATGAAACTAATTTGATGTTGCAGATTTGGTGCATTTTTTCTATATATTTGGTCAAAGCTAGAGAAGTTTGACTTGGAACAAAGTTAAAATACCTTATGTTTTGTAAAAGAGGGAGTAAAAAAAAATTAAAAAAAAATCTTATATTAGTGGTATGTGTGCTATCTAGTGCAGTCCCCTTGCCAAATGTGAATCCTCCATCTTTTATGTCTGCAATGATACATGATCCATCCTTTACTTTTTAGATGGCTTAGATGTACAAGTCAATTTCAGTATTTTTAGGTGGCTTAGATGCACAGTGAATGCAACACAGCCAACAAACTGCAATAATTTCAGGTAAACCGGATTTCATTTTTGTGTACATAAGTTATATAGCCTTGTTGTCTTTTAATATGCAATATCGGTTATAGTTGACTGTACATATTCTGGGAAGAAGCCACACAAGTGCAGATATTAGATTCACTTGTTGTCTCTAATATGCAATAGCAGTTCTACTTGATTGCACTTGTTTCAGGGACTGATTGTACAGATATGCTGAGCGCTAAGGATACTATCTGAAGTGCATTATTTTTTATTTTCATTATTATTTTAACCATGTAATTAACAACGAACTTTTATTGGCATATCTTTGATTGAAGTCTGGCATGTCCTTTATTCACAATGTGATCACTAAAGAGATCAGATAGATGGAATCTACTATGTGATGGTTGCAACCTGCCTGCAGCGGTCTGAATACAATGCACCATACTAAGTGGTTATATTCATTTTTTTTCAGAACATTGCTTTTGAAGCAGTGGATTCCTATCTGAATTCATTAATGCAGAAATAAGCAGCATAACTTCAATACATGTATCACAAAATTAATGGCATGGCAGTATGGCACACTAATTTCTCAAGAGACCAGAAGCAAACTTTGAAATATTATATCAGAAATATGATATGATATCTTGTCTGATGTTGTCACAAAAACCAAGCCCGATGTCCTGCAACTATATAACATACCTTCAGCCAGGTCCAAGCTACTTCTCGTCCTTTTAAGCTAATACCACCAAGGATGTAAAATGAATCTTGATTCCGCACCTAATAAGCAAGCAACAGATTAGATTTAAGTTTGTACATACAGCTGGGCAGAGCACGGTTTAAAGAAACAACCGGGAGTCCGAGACAACATTTCACTAGAAAAACTATAATCAGTGCCTGGCCTAGTCAGGTCAGACTAAAATTTAGTTCATGCAATGGAATTGCTAAAACCGGGTTCATTAAACTGTCGTTCATACTGGAATAAAGTGCATGGGAGAAAATGAAGCAGCTTCTGGGAACCGGAATGGAGAAGTGCAGGAAACAATTGAAGGAGTTCCAACCACTTGAGAGGTTGCCTGGTTTGTGTAGCATAACAATCCTCAATTTTATTTCTTCTCTATAATACTCAAAACTATTGCTTTACTGTTTTATGTGAACATGAGCCCAACCTGTGTAAGCTGGTGGTTGGACTATATGCTCAATGGCTTTTAAAATCATGGTGCAGACTTGAAAACAGTAGTATTTGGAACAATTTTGCAATATAATGAATGTAAAAACAGAAAATGGTTTAGAGGTTAACCTCATCAGTAAACATAAAGTTCAATGCCTCCAAAACAATATCCTTATCCGGTGATGAAGACAGGGAGCCTGGAAACAAAGAAACATTACTTTCAGGAAAGCCCACATGATGAAACAAAAAAACTATGTTGCCACTGAGCTGGAAAATGAAAAAGTGTACACAAACCTAAGACGCGTGATTTCTCCTGTGGTTCAGATGCTTCTCTGTAGATTTTAAGGAGAGCATCATAACCGGATCTGCTTGAGGTGCTAACAGTTCGCATCACGGCAAGATATGCAGCCTGCATAACGTTGCATATTAGACATCAAAGAGGTAACACTGCAACGGTATGTAAGGAAAAACAATGAGGCCTATGACCTTTCTAGTATCTGGTGGAAGAAGGGAAGTTTTGCGGTCTTCAAAGAAGATGTGGAAACGCCGAACTCCTTCATTTATAGTTTCATTATGTCCGAGTCTGACCAGCACAGTCAAGAGCAGTGATCTAAGCATTACATCAAGATGGCTCTCACCATCCTTGGGGTCCCAGCCTAATTTTCTGAAATATTAGGTACATGGATCCTTTTAATATGGTCACAAGTCACGACAAGGGAGAAGCAAGAATGTTTGTAGTAGCAGAAATTAACACTAAGCTTAAGCTAGTTCTCTGTTTATATGCATAAGGATACAGAAGTAGGACACAAATAAATAAACATGGAAACTTAACATAATTTTATGTCAATCCACAAATAAACATGGTGAAAACAAGTAAAATATGAAGCCTATTGGCATACATGGCAGCTGGGAGAAGAAGGTTGATCAAAAGCTGTTTGATATCTTTGTTCATGTCAGGAGTAGCATCAACTGTTATTTTAGAAATGCTTAAGCATACCTGCCAAGAAAGAGGACACATGAATCTGATATTTAATAGGAACATCAAATGCCACAGAATTGATTTGGAGATATAAGGTTTTAGAATCCACTGGAGGTGCAAGATTACTTACAGAGGTTACATGTGAAAGTACAGTGTAATCAGACTCATCATTATAAGCATTCAGCAGTCGCAACAATGACGTCAGTGTTTGCTTGCAAGCAACAGAGAGCGCATATGAATCTTCCACGATACCTGCAAGAAGAATGTGACATCTTGTCAAAAACCTTGAAAAAGTATACAATAGCGCTAAATTGTTCTCATCTTTACCAATCTTATCCATTAATGAGAGCTTCTTCGCTTTGATTGCATTTACAAGTCCAGCTGCAAGTTCATCATCATACTTCACTCTATAAAATCCAGTTTGATCAATATTCAATTTGATCCAAATGTTTTGATTCTTCTCCCCATCAGCACTTTGAGAGGCAGCAAATTCTCCAATATTTATCTTATCCGTTTTATCTTTCAATAAGAACTTTTTCTGTGCATCAT